TTTAACAAAACAATTCTTTTATTTGATAATTGTTTGAAAATTGATTAATTTTTAAGCAAAATTTAACTCGTGCAAAAATAAAAAACACTTCTATAATGACTGATGTTCGGTGCCGGGATGATCCAGTTGTTATAAAACTGGATTCTCCAGAGTTTAAATCTATATTTACACCCGAATTAGAAGCTTTATCTTCGTTATTTAAAAAATACAAATATGACATCAGAATTGCTGGTGGAGCCGTTAGGTAAATATACATTCCTTGGAATACAATTTTATATACATATGGGTAATCTTTTTCTTTTATTTAAGGGATTTACTAATGGGGAAAAAACCAATAGACTTAGATTTTGCTACTACTGCGACTCCAACACAAATGAAAGATATGTTCACTACAGAAAATATAAGAATGATAAATATGAACGGTGAGAAACATGGTACGATAACACCTAGAATTAATGATAAAGAAAATTTTGAAGTGACCACTTTGAGGATAGATAGAGTCACAGATGGACGGCATGCTGAAGTAGAATTTACAACTGATTGGAAATTAGATGCTAATAGACGAGATTTGACTATCAATTCTATGTTTTTAGGTAAAGATAATTCCAACAAATTTTCCTAAATATTTTATTCCTCACTTTATAATTATTTATTGTTATTAGACTTTGATGGAGTTGTATACGATTATTTTTATGGATATGATGACTTAAAACAGAAGAGAGTAGCGTTGTTGGAAGTCCAGAGACAAGGATTAAAGAAGATTACTTGAGAATACTACGTTATTTTCGGTACATACTTTATATATTTATTATATACACATATAATAATTATTTATTATTATAGATTTTATGGAAGGATAAGTGATAGACCTGATGCACACGAACCATCTGTATTGCAATGTATAGGAGAGAATGGTGCAGGTTTAGAACGAATATCAGGTGAACGTATTTGGGTAGAACTGAAAAAGATATTAGAAGGTCCTATGGGTTTTGAATTGGCAAAAACTATGCTTTCTGTAGGCTTAGCTACATATATAGGTAAATATGAACTGTTTAGGTACATAAATATTTTCTATTACTAATTATTAACTTTTAGGTTTACCAGCAAAATATAATTTAGAAGAATTCACAAGAGTATGTGAGGCTGATAGAAGTAGGTCAAAAGATAAACGTATTCGTGCTATAGGACTACTTGTAGGGCTTTTGCATGATCAAACAGAAATGATGAACTTGCACAATCGTTTAAATTATCAGCTTTTGAAAGAGATTTAGGACTTTTTATAATAGCAAATAGAGAAGAAATACCTAGCACTAATCCTATTTTGTAAGCAAATAGGTAAATTTATAATTAAATAAAATTTACATATTTAAACATTGATATTTCTTTTTAGTTTGTATCAAATGCTGATAATCAATAGTCCAAAGAAGTATTTAGAATCCAAAGCTATGGTTTTAGAATTACTTAAATACCAAAATAAAAATGAAATTTATAATGCAATTGAAAAGTGGGAACTTCCCAAGTTTCCGGTTAATGGGAATGATTTAAGGCAGCACGGTTTGGTTGCTGGAAAATATATGGGAAATGTTTTAAATGCCCTGAAGAAGACTTGGGCTGAAAATGATTTTAAAATGACGAGAGAAGAATTATTGAAGTTGGTTCCGGGCGTACTTAGTGAATTAGGATTTGAAGCGCCACCAAAGAAATAAAGAAATTATAAAGGTATTTTACTTTTATATAATAAAATTATTGAAAAGAATGTAAAAATATTTTTTTATTTAATTTATATATTAAATAAATAAATTAAAAGTACAATAGAAAATGAAAATTAAAAGAGGCTCACGAAAATTTAAAACTTTAAATAAACTGTTATAAATAAATAATTATAAATGTAAAATTGAATAGAATTGGTTTTCAAGTTCTGAAAAATAAAATAATAAAAAGCATTTTGTAAATATATGTACAATAAACCAATTGGTTTATTTAAAATTTATTTCATTACCAGTTTCTATTTATTAATATGTACTTTAGCATATTCATTCGATAATTGCACAGCTTTTTCTAACAAATCATACCACTCAGGCTCCAGAATCTTCTTTGCTTTCATATTACAAATAAAATTTTCATTTTGGCCTTTCGGTGGACCAACATGAGCTTTAAATATATCAGCAGATATTTTCAACCACTTTTGTGCGTTAAAACTTTCACTTGTGCAATCCTGAAAATTGAAATAAAATGTTACAACATGAAAATTAATTATGTATCTAACTTATTACCTCTGGCACACAACATCTAGCTTTCACATAACCATTCGAGTAGGAAAATATGATAACAGGTTTATCTTTGCAATATCTAGTAACTTTATCTAATTTAACGTTCTCCATTAAAGAGGCACATATTAAATTGTGTACCAGGAATGACCCTTTGTTTGCTTTTAGAGAATCCATAACATCTTTCATTTCGACGTCTATGAAATCTTTGAGATTCTGATATTGGAATTGATTGGATGATTTTATTAAATCATCTATTATTTCTAGAGATTGCATTTTTGTTACGTATGATAGAGTAGTGTTGTTTATTTCAGATTTTAATTCATTGATGCAGGATTTTGTTGTGTGTGTTTTCGGTGATGCGTTTTTGTAGTGTTTCAACTTTATTTTCTATCAATTTGCTGTTTTCCAGCACCTTAAAAGTAAGAATCAATTTATAAAATCGTATATTATTATGAGTAATAATAATAAGTGTATTATTAATCGTATATTACATCTTTTGCTTTATGTCCTGTTGCACCATAAAAACCATATTACTTCTTGATAAATTCTGGAATTTTGTTATGGAAAATTCTTCTAAGTGTTTTGTATTTAATATGTGAGTACCACAACAGGCTTCTTTTGAAAGGAAATTATCTATGATTGAGAAAGATATTATTATTCAAATAAATATATGCATATAAATAGAAATAAATTCTAAATACCATTTGATACTTCAATGATTCGAATATCATCATCAGGATAAACTTCACCGGGTACAAGTGTAACATCATCCATTGCCAACAGTTTTTGACTATTTATAGAATTTACACCAATGGGAATTCCTTCATTTATAATTTTCCTATAAATAATAATAATATTATTTACAACAAATCAATAACTAAATATATATATATATAAGCTGAAGTTTCACAATCTAAGAAAAACCTCTTGCTTTATATATATATATATATATATATATATATATATGTCTATTACAAACCTGATTTGTGTTTCAATTCTATCAATATGTTTCATAAATCCGATCTCATAAATTGCTAAACCCAAACTAAAATATTCTGAACAAACTTTGCTCGATGTCTGAGCAATTACACAATGGGGCAAAATTTTATTAACAGCCGCTTGTAATAAATGGACACCTAAAAATATGAAAAAATATGTTCACTATTTCATTTACTGTAATTATACAGTTTTATTTACCTGTATGATTTCTCATGTTATTCAGTCGGCGTTCGCCATCAATTTCAGCAAATACTGTATTGTCAAGTTTTAGACAAAAATTGCAGTTGTTTGTGGTAATAAATTTGCCTTTGTGTATTATGTAGTTTTGTACGTTAATAACAGATGTGACTTCAAAATAAACATCGTTGTTGATGATGATTTTGCCGGTGTCGGATTCTTGGCCGCCGGATTCGTGATAAAAGTTTGATTTATCCAAAATTATTGAGGCTTCTGAAGGTTTTGTAATTTCTTTTACACTTGTATTGTCGACTATAATAGCTTTAACTTTAGCTTGCAGTTTGGGGAAAATATATTTGTTGTCGTAGTTATAATTATATTTAAAAGAATTATCAGTAGTAGGAATAGTTTGTTGGAAAGAACCAATTAAATCATACAGTTCTTTTTGTGTATACCGCGAAGACATTTGTTTAGACTGAGCCTTTTTATTATCGACAAAATTATCAAAATCATTTTTATCAAAATATAATCCTTTAATATCCGCAATATTTTGTATAACACCTTCATCAAAACCATAGGTATCACATAATTTATATGCTAATTCACTTGTTAATATTTTTGAACCGTTGGTTAAAGCATTTTGAATTTCTTTATACCCTGATACCAAACCTGGAAACTCTATTACATCTAAATTTATTAATTCAGGACTTTCATTCAAAATATTTTGCCATTTTTTACTAGCGTCTAATCTAAGAGCCCGCAACACCTCTTCTTCGTGATGAATCAAATTATGTACTTTATTTAAATTTTTTACAATTTCTGGGTACGTTTCTCCCAAAATTTCTGCTACTGAGTTGCTTAAAACTTTTAGTAAGGAAGCATTTGTGTTGAAGTATTTTTCACACAGGAGTAAAGCTTTGCGTAAGATTCTTCTGAGCTTAGGACTAGAATGTAATAGGAATTAATACCAATTTTACATTTTGCTTAAACATACGTACTTTAAATCAGGTATCATGCCGTCTGCTAAACAAACTGTAATCAAACGACAATGATCTGCTAAAATTCTATAAGCTGTATCTAATTTAGCTTGATCATCTTCACCAAAAGTGCCTTTGTAAGGTTTAATAGCAGATTTAGAATTCTACAACAATAGGACAGTATTTAATAATTTCTTTACAGATTAAAGACGTTTAAAGCTTTGACTTACATTAAGAATTGTGTTAAAAAGTGGTGCAAATAAATCTGTGTCATAGTTTGTTTTGCAATTTTGAATGACTGATACGAGACGTTCAAATCCCATACCGGTGTCTATATGGCATTTAGGTAGAGGAACGACAGCACCTGAAGCAATTCTGAATAGGGCATTTGCTAAATAATATATATCCGCAATATACAATATTAATTAAGTAAGTAAATAATCACCTATTATATTGTATAAAAACAATATTCCACAATTCAGTAAGATCCCCAAAATCTTTATTAACATGATCTCTTCTATTGGCCGATGTAGATAAATGATCTATATGAATTTCTGTGCAAGGACCGCAAGGACCTGTACTTCCCATTTCCCAAAAATTATCTTTCATGCCAAAAGGAATAATTCTATCTTCAGGTACTCTATATGAAAACAGTCAATAAAAAATTGTATTGATATTAAAAAATATAAATATAAATGCATGTGAATGTATTTATTTATTGATTTATTTACCCTATTTCCCTCCAGATATGTTTACATTCCACATCAGGCTCTAAATTGTGTCCTTTATCCCCCTCAAAGTATGTAACATATAATCTATCCGGTGAAATATTATAAGGCCCCACCAAAAGATTCCAAGCCAATTCGCAAGCTCGTTTCTGATAAGTAATAATAATTAACTGAAATAATGCAGTTTTAGTTCACACTTTCCTATATATTTATATCTAAATACCTTACTATAATCTCCAAAAGACCAATTACCTAACATTTCAAAAAATGTATGATGATAACCGACCTGGCCAATTATATTTAAATCATTATGCTTTCCACCAACTCGAGCACACTTTTGACTGTTAGCTATTTTTGTACTAACAGGCTGTTGTAAACCTAGAAATACTCCTTTAAACTAAAAATAATAATAATTAGCATAAGTTATAGAAGTTTTTATGAATTTAATATAAAAGTATTTACTTGGTTCATCCCTGCGTTTACAAAAGGTACTGTAGGATCACAGTATGGCACAATGGGGCTAGATCTAACAAATACATGATCGTTTTCTTTGTTAAAATAATCTAAAAAGCGTTTTCGTATCTCATGAGAAGATTTGTTAGGTTTATATGATGAATTGTGTCTTAGAGATATGTAGAACCATAACTTAATATTAAAGAACTTGGAAAATGTGCGATTCAACATTATTATATTAATATATTATTATTATTATTATTATATATACAGATATAGTATTTATTTCAAAGGAAGCACAACAAAGTTTAATTGTTTTTTTTAAATCACTGACAATCCTACAGTCATTGACTTGACACAAATTATAGGTTATAATGGATTTATTTATGGTGCAATGTGATTTATTTATGTCTTATATATACAATTTTCAGCTGTTATGATGGAATTTAACAGTATCAACTTTGATAAATATAATATATTTTAATACAATTAAATATTTGTTTAGTTTCATAATATTTTCGAATTATTTGATTAATCAACTGTCACTTGTCAAATTGCACAACTGTCAAAATTTTAACACTATTAAATCAAACTAATAAAGAATAACTTAAATTATAGTTTCAGTTGGTCAACAAGTATTTGTTTTAATAATAATTTGCAGTAAATAAGCTATTAGACATATAAATAAATATTTGATTTACAATATTCATCGCTGAGTATGACTGACCAACTGTCAATTGTCATTTCCTACAAATGTCAAAATTTTGAAAGTTTAAAATTATAGGTTATGCTTATAGGACATGTTTTTATATTTAAAATCAATAAATAAAATTTATTGTTACTCAAAAAAATGGCAGAAGCACAAGTAAAAAAAGTGCAAGAATTTAAATTAGATCCCGATACAGAATTGCGTTTTGAAGTTGAATCCAAAAATGAACATGTTACACTAACAGTATGTTTTATTGAAAAACATGATTATATTCAGATATTATATATTTTTTATTGTATTTTAGCTAAAATCTGGTTTTGCAGAGTTGTTTGGAACAGAGTTAGTTATAGGAAAGAAGTATGAGTTTAAAACAGGTGCTAAAGTAGCAGTATTTTCTTGGCAGGGTGCTACTTTAGAACTTGAAGGCAAAACTGATGTTAGTTACATTGCCAGAGACACCCCAATGGTAAAATACATTCTTGAATCACTTAACTAGTTAATTAATTGTTTAACTAATTATTAGAGATTGTAAGTAATGTATTTTTACAGGTGCAGTATTTAAATTGTCATAATGCTTTGGAGCAACAAAGAGATGCTGCAGAGAAAAAAAATATCAGAGGTCCTATTTGTATGATTGTAGGCCCCATGGATGTCGGCAAATCAACATTATGCAGGTGTGATATTAATACTTGCACACAATTTAAATTTGTTTTATCTATTAATTATTATTTTAGGCTTTTACTGAACTGGGCTGTAAGATGTGGCCGTAGGCCTATAATGGTAGATTTAGATGTTGGACAAGGTAATATAGCAATTCCAGGGACAATTGGAGCTTTACTTATTGAAAGACCTGCACCGGTTGAAGAAGGTTTTTGTCAGGAAGCACCGTTGGTTTATCATTTTGGTCACAAATCTCCAAGTGGGAATTATCAATTGTATAACATGGCTGTAACACGTCTTTCAGAAGTTATTTTGGAACGAATAGAAGCAAATAAAAAATGTAAACACATCATATATAACTAAATATGTGCATCTATTTAATATAATTATTTTTTAGCTAAGTCGTCTGGTATTGTTATAAATACTTGTGGATGGGTTAAAGGCGAAGGTTACAAACAGCTTACACATGCAGCACAAGCTTTTGAAGTTGATGCTATTTTAGTTTTAGACCAGGAACGTTTATTTAATGAACTGGTCAGGGATATGCCGGATTTTGTTAAAGTCGTATTGTTACCTAAAAGTGGAGGTGTAAGTAAATTGATTGAAGTATAATAGTATGTTTATTGTTATTGTTTTTGATTGTGTGTTAGGTTGTTGAAAGGAGTAAAACAACTCGAGCAGAAACCAGGGAGCAGAGGATAAGAGAATATTTTTATGGGGAGCGAATACCTTATTATCCACATTCTTTTGATGTTAAATTCAGTGAAGCTAAAATATATAAGGTATAAAATATATATAAGTTCGATACACAAGTTTTGTTCTATAATAAATATAATTTTCATTTTAGATTGGCGCTTTAGATTTGCCCGATTCCTGTGTCCCCATAGGCATAAAAATAGACGACAGTTCTACAAAACTGATGCCAATTCCACCAGGTCCAGCACTATTGCATCATTTACTAGCTGTAACTTTTGCTGAAAATCCAGATGAAGAAGTATTACAAAGTAACATTGCCGGTTATGTTTGTGTGTATGTATTATATTTATTAATATATGAAAAATTATCAGAATTTTATCCAATACAACAAGGATGATTCTTAAAGATTTAATGAAAATTATTTTAGGACACATGTAGACATGGAAAGACAAGTTTTTACAGTTCTCTCACCTCAACCAAGACCGTTGCCACAAACAGTTTTACTATTGTCCGATTTGCAGTTTATGGACAGTCACTGACACTATCAGAATTAACATTAATAACATATTATGAGATAAGTATTTTTTTAAATATATTTTGACACCAAAAATTAGTGTTTTTTATGAAGTAAAAAATTAGCTACATCTGGTTTGGTGTTTAGAAAGAACATAGTGCTTATCAAATATAACATTTTATAAATATTTTAACATGCCTACAAAGAAAAAAGTGCATCTAGCAACTACAGAGAGAAATATTCCCATATTACTATTAATTACAAGCAATCTTTGATGTAAGAATTAATAATACATTCTTCTGTTGAACAAGGATTGCCTGATTTTAATTGTACAATCGTTCAGCAATCAAAACTTTGTGCTTTTGTAAATTTTTGACATACTTAAATAAATTAAATGTACAAGTGAGACATGAGCAAGCTAATATTAGTGAAGAAACTATGGCAAAAACAATTTCACTCTATAAAAGCTTATTCAAAGTGAAAAATGTGTTTAAAAGCATTATCTAGTAAAAATTTTGGACGACTATGACTGTGACTAGTTTGTAATAGAAATTGTTCTAAATTAAATATAACTGAAATTAAATCTATATTAAATAGTAATCACAGAACAAAAACACAACTTAAAGCTTTCAAAATAAAATAAACTTGAATCTCAACAAATAATATAAAAACAAAAAATCTAGTCACGCTTTTTGGAAACAGCTCCCTTTATTTGTTTAGGAAATTCTTTTTGTTCTTTGTATAAATTATTCAAATCAAACGCAGCTTTGACATTATCTTCAGAAAACAAGAATTTCTGCAGTTTCCCCTTTGTATCGACCGTTGGTCTTCTCATATACTCTTTACCATTTTTAAACATTATTATTGTGGGCAACTGTCGACTTAGAGAACTATCAGACACATGATACTTCTGACCAGCTTCTGGGTACCTTCCAACGTCCATTTTACCAAATTTTAAATGATTCAAGTGGTACTCTGATGAAATTCTGGCAAAAACTGGAGCAAAAGTGGTGCACGCAGGGTTCCAAACCGCATAAAAGACTACCAGCCAGATAACAGTTTTGTCTTTAAACAATTCTTCTTCTAATGCTGTTTCGGAACGGAAGTACACTACATTTTCTGGTCCTGAATATGTCGGCTCGGGGAGTAACAAACCACATACTGATAGAAAAAATATAGTTACACTCTGGTATACATTTGTACAACTACAAAATACTTACTTATGAATATGACTCCAAAGACAATCCCCATTCGTACGTCTGAATAAAACCAGAGGAATAAATTTGCAACCTTTGTATATATAAAGGATGATGTCAAATAATTTATCATTGTGACACTGCCAGCTTTTCGTGTTCTTATCATAACCACAATCATCAAGAAGAACAATATTTCAGTCTCCCTCTGAAACCCACATAAATCATTTAATAAATATATTTGTGTATGAAATGTACAAAATAACTCACTCCATCGAGTTCGCAATTGTCAGCCCCAAAAAGATACACACAAGGAATCGAAAAACGTTTAGCAATTATGTAGGATAAACTTAATAATATATTAACCCAATAATAAGGTTTCAATAGTAAAACTAGATCTTTCTTAAACGACATTTTACGCTAAATATTTAGTACTCGAGTAAAGTTAACAATGCATATTATTATACGGCAAGCTTATCGCATATTTATTATGTTAAAATAAATTAACACTCAAGTGTTAAATAATAGTATTATTCAGGGCAATATTCATAACCACAAACAGATAAAAGTGAATTTGACATCAATTAACTGTCAATGTCAATCAATAAACTCATAGAACGACGGACACTCCTAAATGGATAGAGGTGCGACTAGATTGACGAATTTTGGCAAACTGTGAAATTATCATACGTAGAAAATCTTCAGAAGATAATTAAATAAATAACAATGTAACAAATCATTACAGAATAATAAAAAAAAATATTTAAATACATACGTACACATACATCATTTTTTTCTGAACTATGCCAAACTGTTTAGTTGAGTTTGAGTAAAAATAATACTATGAGTGCAAAAATACTATGACGAGTGTAAAAATATTATTATGAGTCTAAAAATAATACTATGAGTGCAAAAATACTACAAAAAGTGTAAAAATATTACAATGTGTACCAAAATACTACGACAAATTTAAAAATACTACGGCGAGTGTAAAAATACTACAATGAGTACCAAAATACTACAATGAGTGTAAAAATATTCTAATGAGTGTAAAAATACTGTAATGAGCGTAAAAATACTGCAATGAGTACCAAAATACTCTAATGAGTGTAAAAATACTCTAACGAGTGTAAAAATACTCTAATGAGCGTAAAAATACTACAATGAGCGTAGAAATACTACGACGAGTGCAAAAATACTACAATGAGAGTAAAAATACTACAATGAGTGTATATGTACTACAATGAACGTAAAACAATACTACAATGAGTGTAAAAATACTACAATGAGTATATAAATACTACAAAAAGTGCAAAAATACTACCAAGAGTGTATAAATACTACAATGAGTGTAGAAATACTACTATGAATGCAAAAGTACTACAATGAGTGTATAAAAATACAACAATGGGTGTAGAAATACTATGTCGAGTGTAAAATATTATTATGAGTCTAAAAATACTATAATGTGTACCAAAATACTACGACAAATTTAAAAATACTACGGCGAGTGTAAAAATACTACAATGAGTACCAAAATACTACAACGAGTGTAAAAATATTCTAATGAGTGTAAAAATACTGTAATGAGCGTAAAAATACTGCAATGAGTACCAAAATACTCTAATGAGTGTAAAAATACTCTAACGAGTGTAAAAATACTCTAATGAGCGTAAAAATACTACAATGAGCGTAGAAATACTACAATAAGTGTAAAACTACTACAATGAACGCAAAAATACTACGACGAGTGTAGAAATACTGCAATGAGCGTAGAAATACTACCACGAGTGCAAAAATACTACAATGAGTGTAAAAATACTACAATGAGCGTAGAAATACTACCACGAGTGCAAAAATACTACAATGAGTGTAAAAATACCCTAATGAGCGTAGAAATACTACGACGAGTGCAAAAATACTACAATAAGTGTAAAACTACTACAATGAACGCAAAAATACTACGACGAGTGTAGAAATACTACAATGAGCGTAGAAATACTACCACGAGTGCAAAAATACTACAATGAGTGTAAAAATACTCTGATGAGCGTAGAAATACTACCACGAGTGCAAAAATACTACAATGAGTGTAAAAATACCCTAATGAGCGTAGAAATACTACGACGAGTGCAAAAATACTACAATAAGTGTAAAACTACTACAATGAACGCAAAAATACTACGACGAGTGTAGAAATACTACAATGAGCGTAAAAATACTACGACGAGCGTAAAAATACTACAATGAGTGTAAAAATACTCTGATGAGCGTAGAAATACTACCACGAGTGCAAAAATACTACAATGAGTGTAAAAATACCCTAATGAGCGTAGAAATACTACGACGAGTGCAAAAATACTACAATAAGTGTAAAACTACTACAATGAACGCAAAAATACTACGACGAGTGTAGAAATACTACAATGAGCGTAGAAATACTACCACGAGTGCAAAAATACTACAATGAGTGTAAAAATACCCTAATGAGCGTAGAAATACTACGACGAATGCAAAAATACTACAATGAGTGTAAAACTACTACAATGAACGCAAAAATACTACGACGAGTGTAGAAATACTACAATGAGCGTAGAAATACTACCACGAGTGCAAAAATACTACAATGAGTGTAAAAATACCCTAATGAGCGTAGAAATACTACCACGAGTGCAAAAATACTACAATGAGTGTAAAAATACCCTAATGAGCGTAGAAATACTACGACGAGTGCAAAAATACTACAATAAGTGTAAAACTACTACAATGAACGCAAAAATACTACGACGAGTGTAGAAATACTACAATGAGCGTAGAAATACTACCACGAGTGCAAAAATACTACAATGAGTGTAAAAATACCCTAATGAGCGTAGAAATACTACGACGAGTGCAAAAATACTACAATAAGTGTAAAACTACTACAATGAACGCAAAAATACTACGACGAGTGTAGAAATACTACAATGAGCGTAGAAATACTACCACGAGTGCAAAAATACTACAATGAGTGTAAAAATACCCTAATGAGCGTAGAAATACTACCACGAATGCAAAAATACTACAATGAGTGTAAAACTACTACAATGAACGCAAAAATACTACGACGAGTGTAGAAATACTACAATGAGCGTAGAAATACTACCACGAGTGCAAAAATACTACAATGAGTGTAAAAATACTCTGATGAGCGTAGAAATACTACCACGAGTGCAAAAATACTACAATGAGTGTAAAAATACCCTAATGAGCGTAGAAATACTACGACGAGTGCAAAAATACTACAATAAGTGTAAAACTACTACAATGAACGCAAAAATACTACGACGAGTGTAGAAATACTACAATGAGCGTAAAAATACTACGACGAGCGTAAAAATACTACAATGAGCGTAAAAATACTACAATGAGCGTAAAAATACTACAATGAGCGTAAAAATACTACAATGAGTGTAAAAATACCCTAATGAGCGTAGAAATACTACCACGAATGCAAAAATACTACAATGAGTGTAAAACTACTACAATGAACGCAAAAATACTACGACGAGTGTAGAAATACTACAATGAGCGTAGAAATACTACCACGAGTGCAAAAATACTACAATGAGTGTAAAAATACTCTGATGAGCGTAGAAATACTACCACGAGTGCAAAAATACTACAATGAGTGTAAAAATACCCTAATGAGCGTAGAAATACTACGACGAGTGCAAAAATACTACAATAAGTGTAAAACTACTACAATGAACGCAAAAATACTACGACGAGTGTAGAAATACTACAATGAGCGTAGAAATACTACCACGAGTGCAAAAATACTACAATGAGTGTAAAAATACCCTAATGAGCGTAGAAATACTACGACGAATGCAAAAATACTACAATGAGTGTAAAACTACTACAATGAACGCAAAAATACTACGACGAGTGTAGAAATACTACAATGAGCGTAGAAATACTACCACGAGTGCAAAAATACTACAATGAGTGTAAAAATACCCTAATGAGCGTAGAAATACTACCACGAATGCAAAAATACTACAATGAGTGTAAAACTACTACAATGAACGCAAAAATACTACGACGAGTGTAGAAATAACACAATGAGCGTAGAAATACTACCACGAGTGCAAAAATACTACAATGAGTGTAAAAATACTCTGATGAGCGTAGAAATACTACCACGAGTGCAAAAATACTACAATGAGTGTAAAAATACCCTAATGAGCGTAGAAATACTACGACGAGTGCAAAAATACTACAATAAGTGTAAAACTACTACAATGAACGCAAAAATACTACGACGAGTGTAGAAATACTACAATGAGCGTAGAAATACTACCACGAGTGCAAAAATACTACAATGAGTGTAAAAATACCCTAATGAGCGTAGAAATACTACCACGAATGCAAAAATACTACAATGAGTGTAAAACTACTACAATGAACGTAAAAATACTACGACGAGTGTAGAAATACTACAATGAGCGTAGAAATACTACCACGAATGCAAAAATACTACAATGAGCGTAGAAATACTACCACGAGTGCAAAAATACTACAATGAGTGTAAAAATACTACAATGAGCGTAGAAATACTACAATGAGTGTACAAATACTCTAATGAGCGTAAAAATACTACGACGAGCGTAAAAATACTCTAATGAGCGTAGAAATACTACAATCAGTGTAAAAATACTACAATGAGTGTATAAGTGCCACTATGAGTACAAAATACTACAATGAGCGTAGAAATACTACAATAAGCGTAGAAATACTACAATGACGTAGAAATACTACGACGAGCGTAAAAATACTACAATGAGTGTAAAAATACTCTAATGAGCGTAGAAATACTACGACGAGCGTAAAAATACTACCACGAGTGCAAAAATACTACTATGAGTGTAAAAATACTACAATGAACGTAAAAATACTACGACGAGCGTAAAAATACTACAATGAGTGTAAAAATACTCTAATGAGCGTAGAAATACTACGACGAGTGCAAAAATACTACAATGAGTGTAAAAATACTCTAATGAGCGTAGAAATACTCTAATGAGCGTAGAAATACTACAATGAGTGTAGAAATACTTCAATGAGTGAAAAAATACAGACGACTGTAAAAATACTATAATGAGTCCAAAAATATTGTTATGAGTTTACATTTATGAGTTTTATTTATTACAATGAGTGTAAAAATACTACAAAGAGTGCAAAAATACCACAATGAGTGTAAAAATACTACTATGAGAACAAAAATACTACAATGAGTGTAGAAATACTATAATGAGTGTATAAATACTACAATAAACGTGAAAAATACTAGAATGAGTATAAAAACGCCAAATTTAAAAATACTACAATAAATATAAAAATATTACAATGAATTTAATTCAACGTAAAAA